AACCCTGATGGTGAAGATAAAGTTCTCCCTAAGGACTTTGATGGCCTGGTTCAACAGGAAGGAGTCTAAAGATAACATTGCCCCCTTTCCTGTGACCCGATTATTACTAATAAACAAAAAAGGGGGGGAATATAAGCCCCTTGAACCACAGGAGTGGCCAGGCCCCTCCCCGAAGGAGCTCTAACTGCCAGGTTCCACCCACAGAATACTCTAACTGCCCTAACTGCTGGACCCTGCCCCTGCCCTACAGAGTAACAAACCCCGTCTCTGGACATGAAATCCTACCAATCTCACCCTGAAAAGTTCCTATACCCTTCCCAAGGAACTCATATAAGTCTGTATCCTGTTCAGTTTGCAGCTGCTTCTCACCCAAGCAGTGACAGCTGCCCTCCCGACTTTTTCCCTCTCATCGCTTGTGTGAGATTTGTTGTGTGGTGTGACTTTCTGGTATTCCTCGGCTCCCGGCTGCCAGGATACCTTTCCATCCAGGCTGGAATGCTTTTTAGTGGTGATGGACAAATGACAAAGGGCAACCATATGATGTGACAATACAGGTAAAAGAAAAAACTTCCTTGGGTCCTTCATTAGTTGGTCTAGAGAAAAATGCTCATTTAAAACAATAGTGATAATAATGTGTTAGCTAATTATAACAGGAATATTAGCTAATTATAACACAGGAAAGAATGAAGTCAATGAACAAAGTGCCATAAAATGTTGAAGGGGAGATTAAGACCACCCAGTTAAGCAGTTCTTGTGCTGTGTACAGGACAAGGTAGCCCTTCTTCAGAGTGAACCAAGATGAGTTAGAAAATACATATTGAAAATTCTGGGGCAATACTCTATGTTGTTTAAAGAAAATATAAATGAAAGAATAAAACCAGAGATTACTTTACGAAAATCAAATAAAGGAGCTAGAAAAGGAAACCAGGGGCCAAAGAAAAAAAAGAAACACAGGAAGGGTTAGGGTAAAAGGGCCAGCCAAAGACACACACCCTGATGCTGAAACCACAGTGAGTGAAAGAAACACACCCTGGCCCTGGAGCCAGAACCAGTGAAAGAAACACACTTTGGCCCTGAAACCAGAACCAAAGAAACACATCGTGACCCAGAACACAGAGCCAGTGAGAGAAACACACCCTGCTCCTGAAACTAGAGCCAGAAGGTTTAAAAGGGCCAGTGAAAGCAGCATACTTTGGTCTACTGAGGATGAAACCAACCAATCCCTGAGCAGGAAAAGCAACCAAAATCTAGAGCACAAAATCTAGCCAACCTGAGCTTGTCCAAGGTCAAGCGGATTGAAATCTGACCAATTCCCACCCTGAAAATCTTCTCCCTCAAAAACCTCTGTCCCTAAGAATCCCTATGTAAGTCCTGTGCCTGTTCAGTTAGCAACTGCCCTTTCCCACCCTGGCAGACTCAGCCATTATCCTGGATTCCTCCCTCCCAAATAAATCTCTTGAAGAGTTTTGGATGAAGACCTTCCTTGGGCAGAGTGGAGCCGAATCTCTGCTGGGAAGCTCTCTTTGCAGAGTGGAGAGCAGACATGTTCCTGGGAAAGTCCCCAGTGGAGTGGAGCAGAAGTAACAACTTTTCCTTGGAGCCAGAACAGAATGCTACATTTCTGCAGCGGTTACCCCCTTAGCAGAGTGAAGGAGAGAAGTAACAACTTGGGCCAGAACTGAGAAGAAACAGACCTCTCTGGAGGGAAACTCCCATAGGGGAGCGGAGCAGAGCCCAGCTGCCCCGGCTCTCTCTCATCCTTCCGGGAGGCGTCTCCCATCAGAACCCAGCTTCACATATAGCCTGACTTTCCATCAAGTCAGGATACCATTCTCCTCACAGCTGTAGAAATCCAGGATACTGACCCTTCACAGCTGGAGGTATTTCCTGACTTCCAACAGACAGGATACCTTTCCCTCCAGAGCTGTAACACTTGCAGAGGGAGGTGGATATTAGCCCACTACCAAAGGAAATACACCAAGTTGCTAATCTCAACACACAAAAAGACAGAGCTGACCAGGACCTAACTATCTATTGTTGTGGGCTGTTTGTTCTCACTGACACTCTGAGACTGACAATAAAGTTTACCTTGAATCAGAGAAGTGGCAGAGAATTGACCAGTGACCCCCCCCCTTTCTTTCCTTCATCCAAAAGGCCTATGGATCTAAGTAAGCCTCTCCCTAATACTTCCTGTGTCTCTCTATCTATATCCTGGGTCCTCCAAAACCTCTATGGCTAATCCTGGTCAGCTAGTCACTAACTCTGCCCTCTGAATCAAAGTTAAATTTTATTGACTCAGAGTGTGAGTGCAAACAAATATCCTGCAACTATCTATGTCCACAAGAAAACCACACTAAGCTCAGATGAAAACAGAGAGATGGAAAACTTCGAGAACCATGGACTCTGGGCACTCAGTCCTTGCTAGATACAAATGAAGGGGCCTGGCATTGCCGCTCAGAATCCACTCCACAGGAGCTCTGAGAAATGGACCAAGATTCCAGTCAAATGGATGCTTCCTGGGAGAAAGGTGTTGCATGAATTCTAATTGGTATTAATAATAAAAACTCAGAGTCCGCTATTGGGGGTGGAAGCTAAAAGATCAGAGAAGCAAAGCGGCCAGCCACTAGAGAGTTCTAACCTCCACCAAATCTCAGACTGAAAGGGCGATCCTGTCCTCAGACTGCATCTCCAGACGGCATCTGTCTCCACCGAACCGCAGACTGCACTGAGCTCCTATTTCCCTCCTCCCCCTATGCTGGTTGATCTCTAGTGCTGGGATTAAAGGCTTGGGATCCCAAGTGCTGAGATCACCTTCATATGAAATCTGATTCTCTTCTAGACTGGATCAATTTCATGTAGCTCAGGGTAGCCTTGAATTCACAGAGATCTGTCTGCCTGTCTCCAGAGTGCTGGGATTAAAGGTGTGTACCGCCACTGCCTGGTCTCTATGGGTAACTAGTGTGGCTAGGCTTGCACTCTGATCTCTAGGCAAGCTTTATTTGTTAGATCATAAACAAAATATCACCACACAAGTCACTGTATGCTGTTTTAACTTATTCACAAAGGTGAAATTTGGAATAATGCAAACAATGGCTGTATAAAACCTGATTTCTAAAATTTATTTATTTTTTTAATTAAATGTGCATTTGTGACACAAATGCTCTCAATCTGTCCCAGCACTGAACAGACTATGCCTTGGAGGGTCTCATGACCTCTGAGTCTGAGGCAGCCTGGGCCACACAAAGTCACCATCTCAAAAAATAAATAAATAAATAAATAAATAAAAAGATAAAATAGAAACAAAAGTTTGTTCAAGCTCATAACAATGAGCTAAAGTAAATGCCATACTTAAAATAGGTAAAGTCATCATGGTAAATATGGTATCTCACTTCTGTCCGGAAATAAACTTTCACTTTACTTTTGCTTATTTAAAAATACATTTAGCTGGGTGTTAGTGGTGCACGCCTTTAATTCCAGCATTTGGGAGGCAGAGGCAGGCAAATCTCTGAGTTCAAGACCAGCCTGGACTACATATGGAGTTTCAGAACAGCCAGAGAGATTCACAGGGAAACCCTTTCTCAAAAAAACAGGACCTAGAACTTGCTATGTAGACCTGGCTGGTCTGGAACTCACAAAAATACACCTGCCTCTGCCTCCCTAGTGCTGGGATTAAAGGTGTGCACTACCACACCTAGCTTGTATTTTAAAAAACAAATTATATACTTTAAGTGGTAAGTGGGTACATATACATAGAGATATCTTAAACTGTTAAAAAAGATTTCCTAGCTTTGTAAACACACACACCTAGAAACAATGACCATACCAACAGTAATAAGCATTATAATAATGGTCTTTTAAATTTTTTATTCTTTTTCATGTTAATGATTACTTACATGCACACACACTCATGCACACTGGAGAAGATCAGAGGAGCTTGAGATCCACCTGCAGCTAGAGCTACAGGCAGTTGTGAGCTCCTGATGTGGGTGCTGGGAATCAAACTCAGGTCAAACATAAGGAATTTGAACTAGAGAGTAATTGCAAAGACTCGAAAAACAAGTATGTTGAAATCCGTGAGTATAAATGATAATACAAACAAGAGCTTAGGAACACAGGCCAGAGGCTAGCTGGAGAGATGGCTCAGTAGTCAAGAGCATGTGCTGCCCTTGCAAGGGACCCAGGTTCAGTTCCCAGCTCCCACACTAGATGGCTACAACCACCTGTAAATAACAAGTTCCAGGGGATTGGACACTTCTTCTGGCCCTGAAGGTACTTGCATATACTCGGTGCATACAAAGGCAAGTAGGCACGCATAAATCAATTTGGGGAAGGGAGTAGCTTGGTGACAGTGGCACATGTCTTTAATCCTAACACTCGGGAGGCAGTTACATTCTGCATCAAATTTTTCAGCCAACTACCGCAGCTCTGCTTCAACCCTGTATTGAAAGCATCACTCGTCATTCTCACTATGGCACTCTGAATCTCCAACGCATTCCCTTTAGACTATTCTCAGTTTCCTAACTGGTCTTCCTGCTCCTTCCCTCACCTTGTCCCTGCCGTCTGCATCCCCTTTCCAGCTGTTCACTGTCACCGGCCTGCCACTAAGCAGATATATTATTACTTCCATGTTCAAAATACTCAAGGTAAAAGTCAGATCATTACTATGGACTACAAAGCCCAGCATCCTCTGCTCTCCTCCGCTCATTGAGTTTTCTTCTTGCATCTTGCACTAGTCTTTCCCCCCACATTTGCAGTTTCACCCAAGCAGGCATGAAACCCTCAAAGCCTATACAGCTGCATTGTTCCCATCTGCAATTATCCTTCCTCAGTTGTACACGTACCTACTCCTTTTCTCCCGTCATCTCCTCATCGCTCCTCTCAACACCCCTTTCCTGGACACTCCATCTAAAATGCTTCTTCCCACCTCTAACTCTAAACATCCTCCCGTTTGACTTTTTTTCTGAGTATTTTTTAGCACGCAATATATTTCATTTACTTACTTTGTTATCTGGCCCACGGCA